TACGTGTCGCCGAGGGGGGTGTGGTGCACGTCTGGATCCACATTTGTTGCCCCTCTGGCCTGCCTGGTTGTCTGCGGAAAGGGCTGAACGCTAAGCCCTTGACAAATTCAACATGCAAACCACCACATGGTCAAGATGCAGTGTTGGGTCATTCGACACATCTTTCTGGTGTGCCGCCGATCCGTGCTTTCGTGCGACCCTTGGCCGTTCTTGTCAAAAAACGTGCCCACGAAGCACGCGTTCACCGTTGCATCCGCCATGGCGTGATTCAAGAACGTTCGGCATGCCACATGGCGTCGACATTCGCAGGATACAACTGGAACACACCCAAATCGAATCAACGACACGTCGCCATTAATATCATGGTCGCTGTGGATGGTGGAAGGTTCCAGACCATGGGGAGCTTCACGTTTGATTTCGATGGAGAGGTTTCCTGCGACCCCCCTTGATCGGTTGGCGAGTTTTCGTTGTTTTTGATGGCCACCGATTTCGATAATGTGCCCGTCATCGTGTGTTGGTAGCTGTCTGGTGTGGTCGCGACCGTCGAGAGAACGTCGTGTGGAGTAAGAGATCCCCCTGTCGAGCTTGAGCGGCGCCACCACTTGGACGCTGACCTGATGCGTGTTTTCCTGGTTGATGTGGGCATGTCGAGGGTGTCCTTGGTGGGCGGCGTTGTCGGCAAGTCCTTTCCGTTGGGAGATCCTGCCGCCACGGTCACCGTGTTTGGCGGCAGCGTCGACACACATAGCACACACAAATTGAATTTGGTCGGGGCGACGGAACGTCCTTTGACGAACTGAATCGTATGGCACGTCGAGCACACAACTTCGCCGCAGTGGGAGCAGTGGTGCTTGGAAACCCTGCACAGTGCCGGAAACTTGGCCGCGCATACGTGGCAGTACCGTCGAATCGCCTTGGGAACGATCTCAACCACCAGCCCCGGGTGCCGCTGGTTGTGCAGCATGCGGACGTGCTTCAAGTGGCGCTCCAGGCGGCGCAGCTCGGCCACGCACGTCGCGAGCATGACCTTGCGAGCAATCGAGTTTTGATGGAACTCAACTTGTAAGTCAATGTGCGACACACACACAACGGCCAACACGCCCCGGCGGTCGCACTCCATCACGACCATGCCCGACCCGTGGTTGACAGCGCGCACTACTCCCGTGGTGGCCGGGTCTGGAGGGGCGCAGCTGGCAATGTCGATGGATTTGGCCACTTGGACATATCCGTGCCGTGACCCCGCGGGGAATACTCGGCCAAACTACCCGGAATCCAGTGAAATATCTTCATGCACATGCTTGGGATCGACTTACCTCCAAGAGACACATATCTCGCACTACAAGATCTCGCAACGGACACTGGTATGACCGCCACATAATGTCGATCGGCGCCTGGTCCGGCGTGGACGCGTGGAGCGAGTAGAGCGGATTCGACTCGAGATCTTGCAACGGCGGCTCGATGTCGTGCGTTGAATGCGGTGCTGCGGTGCATTCGCCGTCGTGGCGCAAGAACGCGATTGCGTCGTCCAGCAAGCCGCCCACTTCGAAGACTCCGCAAAACATGGTCGTGCCATACTGACCGCTCGCTGTGTACAGCTTGATGTCTCCATGCGTGGCGTACTTTGCCCAGTTGATGGAACCACCCTGTACAATAGACTTCTCCACCTAACGGTGTTGCCCTATGGTCAGCGTGGGTGAAAGGCGCCGTACGCACCAGCTGGAAGGCCGACTCTAGAGCAGATGCGGAGAGGTACGCTTTCTCTTGCGAGGTCAAGGGCCTTGTGTCGGGCGTCGGCATCATGACTGACCGACGCTTGGCGGACATCACGGATGTGTAGTGTGTGAGAACTTGGTGAATGGCCAAAAGAGGTGCGAGAATTGTGCTCACGTTTTGGGCTATTTGTTACATCCTACATAACATGCGCTGGGTACACATGGACCGCCAGCCGGTGTGTAGTCCCGTCGGCGCACCATGACGGCGCGAATCGACGCAGAGCCCCCCACTTCCCCTACCCAAAGCGTTTCCAGGCCGATGGACGGCAAAACATTCGCAATGAGGCAAGCCATCTTTCCAAGTGCCTCTCCATCGGAACATGGCAGTCGCCCAATGTGAGATCGGTCCAAATCAAGCCGCCATGCGGTGGCTAGTGTGTCAAAAGATTGTTCATGTGTGTGCTGTGGCGCCACTCCCTCGCGCACCCAACGTCGCCACTGCTGTATTGATGCGGAAAAACGCATCCGAGTTGTCCCACCACATCCTCCCTGGACTGCTTGCTTGGATGGTCTTGTTTGTTGCTCCTGCCATGCATGTACTCACGCGCTACACCTAGATTCGACACCCAACGACGGTCGCCTCACTTTTACAAATGCACACCGTCTGGGGGTGCGTCCCCTCGCGGAGTCTCCGACGACTCGACGACTCTGGCACGCCTGCAATACTGGCGACGTTTGCGACTGCAGCCCACGAATCTCCTGGGGCCATTCGACTGGACCTGGAACGTGGAAGCGCTTGGATGAGGATTCAAGACGTCAACAGGGTTGGTACCCCCTGCGCGCGGCACCCGGATCATGTTTCCAGCGTTGGAAGCACATTTTCGTGCGAGAAGCGGGGTCGCCATGACAGAGAGGTTGGTCCGCGTCGATCGATCGTTTCCAGGCGCGTCATGCCGACAACCTGGTCGGTGACAGTGGTGCATGGGTTTCATGTGTCGGGGACGCACGTCCAGCTGCGATGGAGCTCGCCCGCCGACATGTTTTCACACACAATGGACCAAGATTGGATGCAGAACAGCGTCATAAAACAGGCGTCTCTGCCGACCCTGCACCACGATCTTCTCCGACGGCGCGCCGCTCAGTGACGACATATGAAGATGCGTCGAACACCACCGACTCGACACTGCCGCACTCGTACAGTCAGTCAGCACCCTCCATTCATCGTTGTCTTGGCGACTAGTGAATGCATGCGACGGGGATGATATCAACATCAGCCCCACCAGCAAAGCCCTTCCACACAATACACATGACTTGAGGGTGTCGCAGAAGGGGCAATCCCGCACGACACCGAACGCCATTGCCGAGAGGTATTATGGTTGCCATTAGGAAATGCAGGGCTGGGGGGCCAACCACCGCCATGAATGTCACGGAAAAGTTCAGTGGCAGCTTCGAAATCTGTGCCGGTCGCCCACTCTCGGACGCATCTGGAATCACGTGCATGCTGGAACGTCCGTGCATTTCCGTGTCAATGGACAACCGGCTGCCTACAGCCATCCGTTTTCGTTCGAGCGCGGTGGTCATTCGATGTGTGAGGGACGACTCGTTCATGTTTTTTTGAGTCTAAAGCCCACAGATACCCTACAACCATCGTTGCGTGAATTGTGCATATTGGTTGTTTTGCAGACCACGCCGGGATTCTGTGTTGGCCTGTCGTTTCCATCCTCTTTACTCGGTAAGATCTTTGCTGTCTGGTGTATCGTGGCGCATCGATACATCACACCGAGAGCCCCTGTTTCGTCGATGTCGATTGGGTCCAGATTTGGTACAGCTGAACCGCGATACGCATCGAAATGCTGCGGATACAAGGTATGAGTCTGCGTGACGTGCCACTACATACGTATTCATGGCGCTTGAACAGCTTCCTAGTCGTTTCAAAGGGGGAATGTAGGGGGGGATTCCTACACAGACGCGCCTGGCGTTTTCTTTGATGAATTTGAATGGTGTACCGCTAGCATCGGTCGGGGGCGTTGTCGTGCGTGGCTCGCTAACTTGGACCGGATGCGGTACGGTCCTTCAGTCGTTCCTCTCGTGGTCGACATCCGAAAGGAATTGCTTCAGTTGGCGCCCCTATCGAGCGAGGACGAATCCCTCAAATACGTACGCCACGTAACGTCAACGAAAGAGCCATCGACTGACAGCCATAGCGTTTTGGTTGGCTGTGGTTGTTGGGTACAAATATCGTCGTTCAGCCAGGCGTCGGCTCGACTAAGGAAGCTCACAAATTCTGAGTGTTAGAGGCTCCGCGACAGTCGTAGATGACATGGTAGAGGCGCCGCAACGAAATGGCCTGCAGTGGCCAAAATCGTAGCGATGTTGGAAGGTAATCGAGATTGGAAGGGTATCAAGGTTTGGATAAAATAACTTGCCAATTTAAGCAAATATCTCATGAAGACGTCGCGAGTACAAGCAGAAACGTGGGTTCTACAGCTGTCGCCGTTTGGATTGAGAACAATGTACCAGCATCATGTTCGGGAATGAACTTGGCTATCTAAAATTGCAAGATTTTCCAGCAAAAGCAAACGGCTTTTGTGTGCGAATTTATACACCTCCATTTTGTCTTCAAAAATATATAGCACCATCCATACCAAACTTTGGACGATGTCAGTAAGCTCATGTACAATTTATACAGGATATGCGATTTTAGGGTGATGTTGTTTGCCGTTAATGTTCAGCGTTGTGGCGAAAGAGCTTATTGCTCACACAATAAGGAACCATGATATGCCTCACTTATGCATGACAGAGTTACTTCGATGGCATTGTCGTCTGCCTTGCGACTTTCAAGAACAAACGGCGATCTGTGTGGTTTTTGGGTGCTGGTTTTGCGACTCCTAACAAGCGAACGCCGCACAACACGCCGAGGTTTTTCACACGTCGAGGGTGGATGCTATGTGCGCCGACACATACGGGACGTCACGACCAGCTTTCAACCGGGCTTCACGGACCTGCCGGACAGCTGGGATGATTGTGTTTTGGTGGCATTCGAAGCGATCTGTGGCATCATACGGGTTCGAGCCAGTGCATCAAGATGTAAGGAGGTCCTCCTGTAAGTACACCGACCGTGTCGCCGGGGTGGCGCCATATTTGACGGCAAAACAAGGATGAATCAATCATATGAATCCGACCAGAAAGTATTTACCGTCAAGTGTAATACGAGTAACACAACCATTACGAGTCGGACACCCATATAGTTTAATAAATTTTCGTAAACAGGCAGGAAAAGTTTTCACAGGAGACACCGCGCGCCAAAATACACTCCGAAAGCCAATATATACTGTATAATACAATATAATATTGTTTATAGAGGAAAAATTGATTTTGGGAGGTTTTTCCCGCGCGCATCGGCCACTTCGGAGCACGGACCACACCCCATTGCGTTTGTCATGGAGGAAGAAGAACTCGCTCAAGTGCAATCGCGCCAGCGTAGAAGGCCAGTCTCCAAGTACGGCCCAAAGAAGAAGCTCAAGTAGTCCAAGAACAGCGTGGTGACGTACAGCGAGCGACTAACATTGATCAAATACTACGAGTCATTCGGCATGTCAGCTACCCTTGTCGCTTTCCACCCGCATCTCAACACAGTGGCGCGAGAATCAGTCCGCAAGAAGATATACACGTGGGTAAAGAACCGAGACTTCTTCAAAAGATGGCATCCAGTCCTGCTACTACCAACATACGCTGCTGGCGGCCGCTTGGCGCAGGAACGACACTGTCGGCAGACACTGAGGAACATCTTGTGCGTTGGGTCTTGGACATGAGGAAAGACGGCGTGCCGGTGACCAACAACATGTTGAAGATCATGACGCTGGAGGCAGCGATCGACTCTGGCCTACAAGACCACGAGTTCTTTGCTGGTTGGCACTGGGTTCATGGTTTCAAGCGACGACATGGCTTGTCGATGCGTGCACGTACTCGCATTGGACAGGACACTCCTGAGGACGGTGTGGAAACACTCAACGCGTTCGTCAGCCGGATTCGCTGCATCTTGGTGGACCACAACATCGACCGCATCTACAATGCCGACCAAACAGGGGTGATTCACGAATACCTGCCGACGAAAACGCTGAGCCCTACCGGCGACCGAACTATTTGGATCAAGTGCGGGGGGAAGACCAAGGAGAGGGTAACGGCAATGTTGCTGGCGGGCTCGACTGGAGCGAAGCACCCGTTGTTTCTTGTCCTCAAGGCCTACGCGTCGACGGTTCAGGCGGTCGTCCAGGAGAACCTGACGTTGCGACACGGGTTTTGGCAAGACAGTGTGGAAGTCGGTTGCCCCTATAGAGCCACAACGACTGTCAGATTTTCGGGAATCCAAGCGCATGGTGGAACTCCACGATCTCACTGGAGTTCCTCAAGTTCCATTTTGCCGGTCGGCCAAATCGTGACACAAACCCCGTGCTGCTCCTTTGGGATGACTTCTCGGCCAATTTCACCGGCGAGGTGGTTGCCTACGCAAAAGAGATCAATGTCATGTTGGAGCGTATTCCACCTCGATTCACCTGGATTTGTCAACCGGCCGAGTTGCATGGAACAGACCGCTGAAGTCTCGACTGCGCCAGAAGTGGATGGACCTGATTCGTCGTCAGTTGCGAAACGCGAAGCAGCGAGGTGTACCGTACAAACTGCAGCCGCCGTCGCGCGCGTCCATTGTGGGTTGGATTGCGGCCACTTGGAAGGACTTGCCTACGACAACGATTGTGAACAAGTATTGTCAACTTGTCGATGGCCCATCGACCCTTGCCGAGGAGCCTTGCGGGGTGCTCGATGATGATGTGTTGGTCGAGTTGTTTGCCACATGCGCCGTTGAGGACACAATGGATCCTGGGAATGACATTGGCAACACAGGAGATGAGGACGAGGATGCCGGTTTGGATTAAAAGCATATGCATTTTTGTATTGGTTCGAGGAAATATTTTTGCATTTGATTCTTCTGAAATTGGTTTCCCTTAAAAATCTATTTCCTATGTAACATAAAATGAAATCGGGAGGGCAGAGTTTGAATGTTGTGTTTTAGAATTGTATGTCTGACTCGAAATCCAATCTCAGCGTGTAGCCGCCGCCAAACCATCCAAGCGGCGATTGAAATATTGAATCGGATAAAGGCAAAGGTCAGTTGCTCGGAGTTTCGTCTCGATTCAAGTGGATTTCAAAGTTGCTGTCAAGTTCACTTTGTCATGCATGTGGCTTTGACGGTTGACTGTGCGAAAAAACTGAGGCTTTGGTTATGGCAACGTTACCCGCCGGGGTGCATAGCTTGGTCGCGTATGTGGGCGAGATGCCTACGGTTCAGTCCTAGTGCTGGTTGGTAGTGGCGGGGCCCGACCCCGAAACTTGCAACCATGCAGCTCCACCTGCCTGCCCACTGCGGCGGGCACGATGGTTGCTCGTCTACCACCGTGTTCTCACGCCCGGGTCTTCCACTCGGCGCGTGGGAGGCTGATCAAAGGGTGACGCTCACTCGAGACAATCCCGCTGGGCGCGGCCAATCTCGTCCAGGGCGGGCCACTGAAAGTCGGTGGACCGCAACGGCGACACCAGCTGGGCTAGCCGGTGCACGCGAGCCCGGTTGGCTCTGCTGTTCCCGGTGCCCCAACGGCTCAAGAGGTCCCCCCAGACGTTGTCTTCGCCCGTGATTGGCTCGATCACGTAGAGGAACGTCGACATGACCATAGACCAGCGTTGCAATTTGCTGGCCTGATACTTGGCCATGTTTGTCCCACCCCGGCCCGGGTGGAACATGTAAACCAGGTTCCGGTAGTCCGTAAACAGACGGAAACCACCGGGACGCAGCAGCAGGTACTCGAGGCGCTTGCAGGCCACAACGATCGCAAAAGCCTCTTTCTCGACAATGGGCCAACGTTCACTCGCACCACGGAACGCACCGCTCAAGAATGCGAGCGGCTCGTGGCGTTGGTCGGCTACCGGTAGACCGAGGTCCTCCGCCGGCATCTGGGTGGCGATCGCACTCCAGAATCCGTCGCTGGCATCGGTGTACAGGCAGACCACCTTGTCAGCGGTCGGATGGGCCAACGGCACCATGCGGCGCAGCGTTTCCTTGACCGACTCGAAGCATGCCGCATGGTCGTCGGCCCAGCCGACGCTGACCAGGTGGATCTTGGCCAGTTACGTCTTGAGTCGGCCCACGGCAGCCTTCGAGGCGACCTCCATCAGCTGGAGGAGTGGCGCCACCAGCTGGGCGTACTCGGGTATGGACGCGCGCATCCAGTTGGTGGCGCACACAAACTGCTGCAGATTGGCGGCCCCCGAGACGGCCGCCAGGTCGCAGAGGCCTTGGACTCGTTCGGGTGAGTGGGTGATCCCCTCGGCCGAGATTACTTTCCTACACCATTGCACTCGGCGTACGAAAAAGTCGCATTTTTTCGGGTGCAACTTCAGGCCGAATGCCCCGCAGATGCCGAGGACGTTGGCCAGTAGGCCCAACAGTTCGTCCTCGGCGGACTCATATCCCAGGAGGTCGTCAAGCCAGCCGAGGACCCCGTGAAACAGGAGGTCTCCGAACATTTGGTTCACCTCCGCCTGGCAAAAGGCAACGGCGTCGGTGCAGCTCATCAGGACTCGGGTGGGGGTATAGATCCCCATCGGCGTCATGAAGGAGAACATCTCCTGGCTGTCGAGATGCAAGGGCAGCTGTCAATAGCCCTTCATCCAATCGAGGCTGAAATACACGGACTTGCCGGCCAGTATCGAAAGAACCGCGTCCAGGTTGGGCATGGGCCACGGCATCGGTTCCGTGCAAGCGTTCACCGGGCGGCTGTCGAAGGTCATCCGGTAGTCGCCCGGGTCCTTGGGGACGATGCGCGGGGCGCATGCCCACCTGGACCGGTTGTTTCGGTACACCAAACCGGCCCGTTCCAGCTCCGCCACGTGTCCCTCGAGGTATTCCATGTAGAGGGGCGGGTACCGCCTCAATCCACACTTGACAGGGACCGCTCCGGGCTTGACTCGAACCCGGAGCGGCTCCACCTTGATCGGGGGGTCCCCGACCATCTCCAGACGGAACACATCGATGTTCTCACGGAGGAACTGGGTGAGCTTCTTCGAGGAGACCTCTGGAAGGCCCTCCTTCTCTGCCTTGTTAATCTTCGCGGAGAGCACCTCACACACCTCGGCCTCTTGTTTGGCCTTCTCAGCCGGTGTAACGGCGCC